TATTTTTTATATAAAATCTATGCAAAAATGTTCTGCATATTATGATTAAAAGATAAAATTAATTTAATATCAAATTTTTACATATCCACCTTTTAGGTATGTACAGCAATATGGAATATATAATAACGGAAAATTTAAATGCAAAAAAATTAATTTCTATTCAAATTACATAAACTAAAAGCTGAAAATCACTAATATTATTTCAAGTGACTACAAAATGCATTAAATTTTGTACCGAGTTCTATGTTTTAAATCAATTAATGCTATATTCATTTACATGGCATAAGAAAAAATGTCCTTCGGAAAAGCAATAATTTATTTAAAGTGTTATTTAGTAATAATGAATTAGTAAACAACTGTTGCTACGTTTTTTACTAATTTAAATTTATGAAATGAATTTAGTAAACGAAAATGCAATGAACGATAGCATTAATTGATTTAAAACACAGAATTGATGTTTATGAAATTTATTGCATATTTCTAGTCACTTTGAAATGAAATATTATAAGTAATTTTCAGCCTTTAAGTGTACGTAATTTTTAAAAAGAATTTTTTTTTTTTTCATTACTAGTGCATTTAAATTTTCCAGTATATATATTCCTATTGCTGTACATAACTAAAAGGCAGATATGTAAGAATTTGATATAAAATTATTTTACCTTTTAATCATAGATACAGAAAGTTTTGCATAGATTATATAAAAATATGAGATTAAATAAGTACATTTATGAAAAAATGCAGTGAAAAGGTAATTGGAGATTTATGCAAATTTTTTACCAAAAAATTGCATTATACACAGTAAAATGGAGAATACATCGGATTAAATTTTTACCAGTCATTTGCATATGCAAGAAAACATAGGGAAGATTTAGGTCAATTACTATCAATATATACGTTTTTGTACCGTAAAATACGGGGAATATCTACCTTAATTTTACCTAATATATACGTTGATATACAGTAAAACATCGGGAAATTACGTAAATTTTACTAAATATATACGCATACGTGAAGCAAAAAATTGAGATTTACGTATATGCGATAAATATACGTAAATTTTTACTAAAAATTACGTAAATCCCTGATTTACGTATATTATACGTAAAAGTTGCGAATGACAGTAGTCTCTCGCGTAAATATACTAAATTTTACTAAAAGTACGTATAGTATAACGTAAAAATATACGTAAATATTTAGTAATTGCCACTGGACACTTTTTTATGTATTTTTACGTTCAACTGAACATTTTATACGAAAGGCCATTCGTAAAATTGCACGTACTTTTCTCGTGCAATTTACGAATGCATGCTGCCTGGGTATTTCATTTTAAAACACTTATTCTATAATATTTTTAACAGATTAATGGAAGTCTTGATCACAAATTCTGTGTCATGAGATAGTAAAGTGAGGGACTTCAATTTGATAAGTTTTCAAATGATAACATTAATCATAATTACATTAAGTTGCATCTACTATAAATTTGTTTTTCTAATTAAGCAACCAAACCATTTCTTGTGTAGTGTTATCTTTTTTGAGGCAGAATTAAATGTCACTATGATCTGCAATAAATTTAATGTAATTTTGATATTTTTGGACTTTTTATTGATATATTTAGAATTTTATATTGCTTTTAATATGTGCAGTGTATTTAAAAGTTTTTTTTTTTTTTTTTTAAGATTTCCACAAAGCTTGTATACAGGAATGAAACTTAATTTGTTTTTGCCTTGTCTTTCTTGCTTGGTGTGGGCAATCAGTGATGTTAGCTGTGAAAGAGATTATTATGAGGTCTTAGGTGTCAATAAAAAAGCTAGCAACCGGGATATAAAAAGAGCATTTCGAAAGCTAGCCATGCAGTATCATCCAGATAAAAACAAAGATCCCAAAGCAGAAGAGAAATTTCGTGAAATAGCGGAAGGTAAGTTAAGTGTATCTTTTCATTTGAAAAAAACCTACAGTAAAACTTCAGTTTCATCAAACTAAATATTGGCATTATAGCAGAGTCGTAGCTAAGGTTTTCAGCGCCCCCTACTGCTTGCCAAGAATGGAAAACATTTAATTCTAAAATGCCGTAACATCAGTTTGGCGCCCCTTGGATTGCGCGCCCGGGGACAGATGCCCCCCTCTAGCTACGCCCCTACATATATAATCATAAATCAAAGTTTTCAATAATTTAAACTTTCGATTGAATGCATCTTTTTCTTGCCTGTTCTATTTTGGTTTATTTCAGTAGGCTGTATTTTTTTTCCTATCCTAATTCTTTGATTGCTAATTAAAAACATTTTTTAACTTTAGTCATATGTTATGTACAAAATAAATCTTAAATGCCACATTTATTTAAAGCAGGATGCATATGCCTCTAAAAGTACTTAAAAGCCCTTAGATTTTTTGGGGAATGATATTTGGTTCTTGAAATTCCGTTTTTGCCAAAATTGTCAAAAGGTCCTTAATTGTACTCATCTGATATTTCTGTATGTTTTTAATTGACTGACATTTTAGTGTTAATGAACAGTTTTTAACTCTTTCGCATCGAAGTCACCTCAAACGCCCGAGCATTCAGACATTGGCTAGATGCCCGAAACGCCTGAATAATTTCCTACCCAGTGCTTTCCCCCATCACGTTACTGCATTACTCTTAGCTTTCAGGTGTTAAATCATTCTTTTGAAGCTACTATAAGTAGCTTCATTGTTTCCTTTGTTCCTTCCTTTCCTTTGTTTACTGTCAGTGTTTAGCTTTTGATGCCCAAAGTTGCAATCCTGTCCCAAATGGGAACTTCACACAGTGTCACAGCGTCGAAGAAAGAAGTTCTCGCTTTACTTAAGTAAGGCTATTGTTAGCACTGTAGTATTCAACTTGTCATGGGGGAAGGAAAAGCATTCCAGGAGAAATTCTTAGATACGGGTGTTTTCGATGTTTGGGGAATTGAGATTTTGCCCTCTCTCGATGCTAAAGAGTTAAGGATTATTTTTGGGTGATTCATTGATAAATACATTAAATATGAGTTATCATTTGAATTCTTTCCTACTTCTTAATACAAATGGAGCCCACCAGTGGCTGAGTAAGTAATAAAGTCACTGAACACTGGTAGGGGCTGAGTGGTAAAGTCGCTGAACACTAGGGGGAACATTTGGTCAGGGGTTGGAATGCCCGCTAATGGGCTGGCTTCATAAGCATTTTCATGGTTTTCCCTATGTGTGATGTGTATGTGAGCCAGTTTCCCTCAGAAAGTTCTCTGTAAAAGTATCCCTTCTCTAAGGCAAATAATCCTCAAGGGCTTTGCCACAATTAAATAAACCGGAACCTTAATATAAATGCTGGTATTTCCAAAATTTTTAGCATGAGACCTTACCTCTATTACGTTTCAAAATTTCCTTTTTCGAGAAAAAACAGTTCATAAAATGTGACATCAAAACAACTTTTCCTTTATGATATATGATTTCTTTCATTAAGTGGTGCTAAATTTAGGGACTTGTCATTTTAGCTATTTCAAAATCAATTTGTATGCATACCTTTTGATCTGGGGATTTTTTAATTTTTTAAACATAATAAAATTGATAAATATCATTAAAATAATGCTAAGCTCTTAGAATTCTAATTAAGAAATAGCATTAAAATAAAACATTTTTATCTTCCTGTGTCAGATTATAAAATATTACTTTACATTTTCCACATCTTAAAAATATTTTGATTCCGAAAAATATTGAGATAGCAAATGCTATAAAACACATAATAAAAGCAAAAAAGCTACTTAATTATTTAAAAATTGAACTCATTGGTCTTTTATATTTTTTCATAAGAGTTTTTTCCAATGTAGTTGTTTCAGAATATTCAAATGTTTGTTAGTTTACTCTTAAAAATTCACTTTACACTTTTCTGATTTTTTTTTTTTTTTTTTTTTTTTTTTTTTTCCAAAAGTCTTCTAGCATTTTGCTCTTACAGAGTGGGATACTTTTTAAACCTTGGAAGGTTTAGAAGGATTTGAAAGCAAGATTTACAGAAAATGTTGCAAAATGAAAAATGTCTCCATAGCATTAACACATAATGAATGGGTTTTACAGGAAAATTCTAATGAAGTTTTTATTTTTTGGAGAATGTTTTTAAGAAAATGAAAACAAAGTTATTTGAATTTTCTACTTTTGATTATAAAAAGTCTTTCTCTTAACATGTTTATCTTCACCTTATTTTCTCATCTTTTCATTAGACACAAGGTAAAGAAAGGTTTCTGAAAGTTCTTTGCAAAAGAAAATGGAAAGGGTGAACATCTCAGACGATAGCTCAGTCCCCACAATTCATGAACCAATGGAAGCAAATTCCAGTGAGGATAGCTCTGCCCTCAATACTCATGAGCCAATGGAACCAAATCCTAGTGATAACACCACCACTAATCACGCTGATAACTCTAATACTGTCAAGAATACTAATGAAATAAGACAATTTAGGACTCTAAGGATGAACTCCAAATTATTGAGCAGGATTTTACTAAGAAATTTAAAATTCCATCAATTACTATGAAAGTTAATAACTAGACATGGAATAGTATTCGAAGGGCCCTTAAAGAGAAAAATATTGAAGCGAATGGCAACAGCACTATTAATGGCATTAAAATTTTTACCCAAAGCGTGGATGACTACTGCAGTATTGTTCAAATACTCAGAGATAATAATGTTGAACAGAAATCTTACATACTGCTACAGGATAAAGATCTTAAAGTAGTTGTAAGAGGGTTACTTATTGATTCTGAAGTCACTGAAATACAGGATGAGCTCACAGATAAAAATTCAGGCAAATGACACGGAGACACAATGGTGAGATTACAAAACTGCCATTATTTTTTCTCACTCTTCCAAAAATGCCCAAATCAAAAGAAATACTTAATGAGAGGTACTTAATGTGTTTAAAGTCTGTTTCACTATAAGGGACTGGCTTAAAGCCCCCTCAGCTTGTAATTGCCCGAAACTGGCCATACCTGCAGAAATTCAGGACAACATCAAAAGACTTTGAATTTGCAAAGCCTCGAGCTTTAGCCCTATTAGTAATATTGCTCTCAAGAATTTGCCTTTCAGTACTGTCGTCAAGTTCACTAGCCTCATAAATGCATGTCTGTTTCAAAGTTATTTTCCTACCTGCTGGAAGCACGCTAAAGTGATCCTTCTCCCTAAACCGAGTAAAGATGGTATCAGACCTGATGGGTACCGTCCCATCAATCTTTTATCAGGTCTGGGAAAAATCTACGAAAGAGTGATCCTTGCAACATTAAAGCCATTTGTGGAACTGTTACCGTCAGAGCAATTCAGTTTCAGGAAAAAATTATCCACAACTAAGCAGTTAATACGACTAGTTGAATTCTGCAGTGGTGCTCTCCATAATAAGCAAAGTGTTGCCATTCTCATGCTGGATATGGCGAACGCGTTCGACCGCGTCTGGCGTGAGGGGCTTCTTTACAAGTTAATCAAGTTTCAACTCAACAGAGAATTGATACAGCTAATTCTGTTCTATATTAACAACAGAAAGTTTACGGTTGCCATAGGTGATGACACTTCCAGCACTAGATCCATCAATGCAGGGGTCACAGAGGAATCCATTTTGGGACCCGTCCTTTATCTGTTTTATGTTGCAGATTTTCATAGGGCATACATCAACTCAAATCGCTTCTTAGGATGCTAGATGCTATGTGGACAATACAGTCTTGGCTGTAAAGTCCAGAAATGCAAACCACGCAGTAAAGAAGCTCCAGGATATTATGCCGTGTATTGAGAAATGGTGTACCAGATGGCGTATCCCAATAAATGCGAGCAAGTCTCAACTACTAATTATTCGCAGAAGATGCTCACAGTCTCATCTTAGAAATAAGTTGTATCTCTTTAACAAAGAAATTCATCAGGTCAGTAAGGCTAAGTACCTGGGAATCACGTTTAATGAAAAACTTAGTTGGACTGATCACATCATGAACATTAAAAAGTTTTGGAGTGATCAACAGTCTGCTCCTATTTCTGGGGAAACACTCACACCTTGATCTGCACAAGAAAAGGCATGTACATTATGACAATCCGGCCCATCATCACTTACGCATCTCCGGCCTGGGTGGCAGCCTCCCACAAAGATTTGAAAATATTACAGGTCACCCAGAATAAGTTGTTTCAACAGATTAAAATTGCACACTTCTATGTAAGCAATGCTACACTTCACAGAGACTTAAAGCTGGACATGATCGAAGATCACTTAAGAAAGCTCAATAGGGGATTTTTTGGATAAAACTATCAAATGTGAGCATACGAATTCTTTTAATGTCTTCCTCTACGTGATTTTGGAAGAGGATAGGAATATTTGCCCCTTGGTGGCACACACCTTGTCTGTGACTCTAACTTTCCCACCTGATATTTAGCTTTCACCGATTTCCACGTGTAATTCACTAATTTATTTCTCAGATTTTCACTACTCTCTGTTTTTACTTGGAATTTTCGTAGTACTTACCTATTATATTATGGTTTTACAATGTATTTTCTTGTTTTGATTATTTTCTTAATAGTGCCTTGTTGATTCTCACACCTGCAATGTTTAGGATAGTTTCATGTAATGTGCCATATTGGCAAAGTTTTTCATCCGAGCTGGACACACCACACTTTTTGCGGCATTTTCGGCTATACCCTACCAGTCAGTCAGTTATTGCAGCACTATGTAACATATAGCATGCTATAATTATAAATAAATAGTTTCTAAAAGCTAAAAGTGCACCTGCATTATTTTATAGTGTATAAGCCAAAAGGGGAAAAAAAATTCCTGTAACTTTCAAACATGCTGCCAAGCAGGTAAAATGGGTGGAATATTTTCCAACCAAATCAATGTAAAGTAAAATGCCAAATGGCAATGATAATAGTTTTAAATCTGATAACCCTACCTGAAGCTAGTAGTACATTTATTTCATTCATATGTTGTTTTGCATGTGATTTGTTGTTTCTGTGCTAGTCTTATTTTTTATCTGAAAGATGAGCAGGAAGATAAATTCTTGCATGGGAAATTCCAAACTACAGATGGTCACGTTTATTGAAAATTCTAACAACAGTGTAGCTGCTTGGCATTTTTCCACAAATGAAAAACAAATTCAAGAGTGGAGAAAGCCATGTGCAAATTTTACCAGCTTCAGATCTTTTGTTAAGGCTATAACAAACCAGCATCATAAAAATAATTAATTTTAAAAACTCATTTAATTTTAAATGAACTTTTTTCAGAAAACTTAAGAAATATAAACTAAACAAAGAGTGATTTGGGTTAAAATAACATGGTGAATAATGATTATTCGAGAATTTGAACAACAAGAATCAGCATAATATTTGTGAGTTTTGCAGGATTAGTTTCGATGATTTAACTACAGAACCATCTCCCTCAGCTGCTTAAGTGCAAATGAACGAGATAATATACAGTGGTAAGATTAGAATGGCTGGAAAGCTACTGGTGCCATCTATTGATGAAATAAGAAAACTAAAGCATAATTTCCTTAAAGGCTGATGGTAAGATGTATTGAAATTAGGGTTGTTAACTAGAACAGAAAGATTTTTTCTAATGTGAAAAGCCTTTAGAAAATCTAATTCACCAATGGAAGATATTTTTTGAATAGTTTTGGCTGCAGAAAATGGAAAGTGTGATTTTTCTGACCTACAGTGCTGGGGAACAGAGGATTTCTGTGTTGCCTCATGTTCTTTAATGTGAAATTTCAAGGATCTGTTATTTTCAGAAAGTAGTTTTTAAAGTTTGAGGTTAGTTTGACTTTTAAAGAACTATGTTATTAAATAGAAAGTTTAGTTGACATATGCTATTTTTTGGGGTACTTACGTATTATCGCAACCAGGTTGGCGTGATTTGTAAGTTTGAGTAAAAAAGTATGAATAGAAAGAAAATGTACATTTATTAATTACAGGTAATTTTTAATACAGTTTATATTTGTTTTAAAATATAAATAACAATTAAACCCTTCCGGTTTCGAATTTGAATAAGTTGCAGAATTATTTTTTTCGGCGGAAATCTTTTGGCTGTTGCTTTTAGCACTGATTGAAACCATCTTCGCCATTAAACTTGAGCTTGGCACCATATAAATTCGATAAGGTATGGAGTCAAGATGATGACAGGCTGTTCCTCTCTGTTTTTTTGTTGCGCCATTTGGCTGAGCCCCACATGCGCTCTACATGTTTGTGTGTGAATGCCCGTGTTGGGATCCACAAAGTTTATTGGTGATTAACAGTTCCATGCCAGAATCCAGCATTTTCAAACTCACTTGTATTGTATACTTTCCAACAATCCGAATAAATAATGCTTCCTTCCTTGATATTTTCGCAAATTTTTTCCATGAGGGTAACGGCGCTTCTGTTAGGTACAGTAACCAAAAAAGTCTCTTTTCTCGGCAAATTCCGCCGAAAACCCATTGCTGTGGTAGCACACGCCCAGTGTTATTTTTTCTTTTTACAAATAAACTTTCTATTTTCACACACGTAGGGTTGCCGTAAGTAGGGTCGCCAAATTTGCCGATTTATGCGAATTTTGGCCTGGTTGCGTTAATACGTAAGTACCTTTTTTAAGAGGGAGACATGCTGGGTGCAGCATGAGGTAAATTTATTGTGTGGACATTTGTTGAGCTGCATATGGTTTTCATGTCATGTTTGTTAAGGTAACAGCAAAAAAGGAAACTGCAATCAGAATTTCGCATAAAATCCAACACCTTGAAGAATTTAGCATTGGTTTCCAAAAATCGACAAAATATTTCAGAATGTTTAAATAGTATAAAAATCATAAATTAAAAAAAAAATTAAATCTAATTTTTATATGCTGATTCCAGTACAATACATAAACAGTTTTAAGTTAAAGAATTATAAATCTACTTGTTTAAAATTAGTCCTCAGGAATTCAAGATAATGTATGATATAAAATTGTATTTAAAATGGTAATGCCATATGATAGGGTAAAAAAAAATTCGTTGTAAATTCATTGCCACATGGAAACTTGAGCTTATTTAAATAAAAAGCACTTAAATATTCAAGATGTGCATTTATTTCACTTGTTCATTCACACATGAATGAAATGGAGCTTATAATAATCTTTTTTGAATACCTTGTATATTAAATAAAAGCAATTTTACTGCAGAACCAAATACTAAATTACTGTGTATATTTTATATTAATGGCAATTTTTCTGAAATAATAAAATACTTATGTACTACTTTCATACTGATTTTGTCAAATGTTTATTGCAGCATATGAAGTACTGTCGGATGAAGAAAAAAGAAGAGAATATGACCAATTTGGAAGATCTGTTTTCAGAAATGCTGGTCAAGGAGGAAGTCATCAGGGATTTAATTTCAATTTTAATGATTTTTTTAGAAAATTTGATGAATTTTCATCATTTAAATCTAGATCATCTAGTAGAACTGGAGGTGGATCTGGAGGCTTTAGTTTCAGCTTTGGTGGTGATAATAGCTTTTTTAATTTTGAAGATTTATTCTCAGACTTTGAACCTGAAGAAGAGCAATTTGGATTTCATGACTTTTTTGGTAGTCAAGATAGTTTTTTTGGCACCCACTTCCAACGTGGCGGTAGTAGACAAGTGCACACACACAGCCAAACTTACAGTTCATCAAGTGAGTATTTTAGATTTGTTGGAAAAATTTTATACGAGAGCAATTCGGAATGTTACCTCCAATGCTGCAGTTTAGGCAAAAATACTAAAAACGTTTTCTATATTTAAATATTTATTTGCAGCTGATATCTACATTTTCATTTAATCACCTTCTGGACCAAGATATTTGTTGAAATTGGAAGTTTTCTTCATTGTTAGTAGTATGGAAGTGTTTCAAGGGTGTTTTTTTTTTTCCCCCAAGGATGTAGATATTCTTAACCCATTTTTCATTTTGGGAAATTGCAGAGGTCAAAATTTAAGTTATAAAGAAGCTATTAAAACAGATTTTAATAAAAGTTTGAGTTAATGTTTGTGTTCACTCAGCTTTGTATGAGAGCAGTTATCATGAAGAAACACACCTAACAACAACATGTCTTATCTTTCATTCTGAATTACTATTCTGCATATTTTTTCTAAAGTTTACTGTATGCTTGTAATGTTATTAGTGGTTTCAAGTTTCATGAATTTGACTAAGGGTACTTCTTTCCAATGAAAATAAACATTGCTGTTATTAACTTTTTATATGAGAAAGGTTTCCTTAAATTTAAGAAACAGTCAGATTTCGTGTCAAAATACCTATGTTAGAATGATACTATATGTAAGTTTAATATATATCCTAAGTCGTGCTTTCGAGACATGAAAAATGCAATTTGAATTTCTTCAATTGGCCCAGTAGAACAGAAGATATAGAACTGTCCCTCCTCTTTTTTTTTTTTTTTTTTTTTGTTGTTTTTTTGTTGTGTTGTTGTTGTTGTTGTTGTTGTTTGTTTGTTTTGTTTTGTTTGCAGTGTACAAAATCATTGGTCACTGTAAGATATTCACCATGCACTTCTATTCAATCTTCTTGGAGTTTTATGCATCTTTCATGAAATTCCTTCTATAACATTCACCCATTCTTCAATAAATTTTACCTACACTAAGGTCTCAAGCTAGCAAAAAATATACCTGCTCAAATTTCACATTTGGTGAGCTTCAATAATTGTGAATATCTTTTCTATGTTCTAAATAATGATAAGCAGAAGAAATTTACTAATATATAAAACATCACTAAAAGATAATCCATCATGTTTGTTAGGCAAGTATGAGCTCCTATTCTCATTGTATCATTAGTAAAGCAGCAAAGGTTACTTTCCAAATAACCCATGTACAATAAAACTTCAATTATAATTATGAAGGATAATCTTCAAGTAAATCATTTAGTATTATAACACATTATGTAGCAAGCCAAAACATTATGACCATCCCCACATTTTTCAATGAACTCGTCTGGATGACATGGAAGGCACGTGATTAAGTGGGAATGGTATTTACTGCTGTTGGGAAAAAGGTAAGGAATCATTCTTGCACTTGCTTTTATGAGTGATGAGAAAGAGAATGTGATACAGGACAGATTGTAATGGTCAGAAGACATGGAACAAGTACCTCGGAAACTGCACAATGGTAGGTTCACAATCTGCTATTGTTGGTATTTATGCAAGAAGGATAAATGACGGTGAAACCAATGGTAGCGTCCAAGCTATTGGACATCTTTGTATCATCAAAGAAAAAGGATGTCCGAGACCTTTCGCTTGGTATGGCAAAATCAGTGCAAGGCAGTGGCTCAACTGACAGCCCAGTATAATGCAGGTCCAAGTGCAAGTGTTTTGGAACACACAGTTCAACAAACACTGTTGGATATGGGGACATCTTACTTGTGTGCCTCTGTTGACCAAGCGTCATTGTCAACTATTCTTACAGTGGGCCCAAGAACATCAAGGCTGGACCATGGATAAGTGAAGAAAGTTGCTTGGTCAGATGAATCACGATTTCTCGTTCATTACATCAATGTTCGTTTCTGGGTACATCATCTTCCAGGCAAACAGTTGTCCCTTCCTGTTCAGCAGGTCATACACAGGCTAATGGTGGTTGTATTATGCTTTGGGGAACCTTCTCATGGGCAGCTCTGGGATCCTTAGTTGTGGTAGAACAGACTATGAAAGTTGTGGACTATCTAAACGTAACTGTGGATCAGTTGCACCCTTACGTGATGTCTGTCTTCTCAACTGGAAATGGAATCTTTCTAGCAGGACAATGTCCCATGTCACAAGGCTCAAAATCTGTAGGAACATAAGGATGAATTCCAATTAATGTCCTGGATACCTTATTCGCCAGATCTGAACCAGATGCAGTACACTTGGGATATCATAGAGCTAAGACATCATCACGTCAGAATATATAGACTTTGCATGACTGCTGCTCGGACATTTGGTACATCTACCAAGAACTTGTGGCATCCATGCCAAGGCGAGTTGCAGTTGTTTTGAAGGCCAAAGCTTGCAGAATGCATTATTAAATAGGTTATAATGGTTTGGCTCTTCGGTGTAATTTGTATTAACTTCAGAGATTGGAATAAATGTGTTACTTCAATTATATTTTTTGTGTATTGCAAATTTGTTGTACAAGTTATAAATTAACAAAAAATTGGAATTGAAAATAATTTATATAAAATGAATGAATAAATTTTTCTGTTAATATCTTTTTTTTTTTCTTTTCAGGTCATGGTGGCCGCTGCAAGACAGTTACACAGCGTGTTGGAAACATGGTAACAACATACACACAGTGTTCTTAATGATTAAATTAAGAACTTGTAGATGTATTAATTTTGCAGTTCAAAACATGTAAAAATTATTTATATAAATAAGAGTGCTTGAAAGTGTACAGACATTGTGCCATTGTGTTTAGAACTTTTAAGTACAAATTTGTATAGCTTTACGAGTGGCAGATACAGCCTGTGATTTTTAAAAGATGTTCCCTATGTTGGATGTCATATCAATATGCCTCTGTAATTCTGTGATATGAAAATTATAAATCTCAATATAAAATTAAAACTTTTAGTGTCTTTTTGGTATTTATCTTGTGTTGATATTTAAATATTGCTGTTATCAAAATACCAAAGCATAATAAAAATGAATTTCATATTACAGTACTAAGTCTGAGCATCTGGGGAAAAAAAAATTTTAAGTCTAGGAATGAAGAATATATATTCAAGGGAAAAGAGATGTGCCCCCCTCCCCTCCGAGTAACAGATTCATCAACCATCTGCTGGCCAGGGAAATAGCATGGCAGCTAGTGACAATACACCAACTAATATTAACCGCAAACACACTTTTGGCCTTTGAGTGGTGGCCTTTTTCTGTCTGACCTAAAGAATGAGTGAAATCCCTTCTTTAACCTTTCTGATATGAAGCATCTTATTATTTTGTTCCATCTATCAAAATTAGTTGTAGTAAATGATAATGTTTCCATTTTACTTTTCCCTGAAACTACATCCATCCATTCATCCATCCATCCATTAACTAATGGATATCAAAATTTGCATGCAGTGAAATACAGAATAAAGTATCTTTTCAAAATCTGATGTAGCAAGAAATCTAGAAAAATTTTAATATAAAATCTAATGTATGGGATATTCGAAGTTCATGAAAGGATGTATAGGCAAATATTTTTTAAAATACCTCGTATAATATATACCCAGCTACCATATTTCAGGCTAATGATGGAAGCCATGAATCAGGTTGTTTTCAGATATCACAAATAAAAAGCAAAATTTTCCAACTAATGGATTATAAGAAATGGGAAATGAAGATGATTTAACTGGAGTCTTACACTGTGATGGCAATGCCTTGATTGCAGATATCTTTGTTATGGTTTTAAATCCAGAAAATATCGCCATTTCAGCTTTGATTCTCATTTTAACTTCATGCGGTAGTGATTCAAAATTTTGTTATGCAAAATATCTATTTTTAGACTAATGGTAATGAAGATTATTTTAAATTTTACAATTTGCATACATTACTATATTTACACTGATGACATTAAATCAGAAATGCTTAAGTCCTAATGATTCTGGATCTTGACTTTTTACTGTATTATAGAAAAGATAAAGCAAGAGATAATATTTCCTTTTGTATTCAAAGTATTTCTAAATAAGAATATAAATATTAAAAATAAAAATAATAAAGACTTATAATCATTATTTTATATTTATTATAAATTTATTCTTTTATATAGTAATAAAGAATCATTTTATTAATATTCTTTTAATGGTTGTGATGATATTCTGTTTTCAAAGTAATATATATTTGACTAGGTTTATTTTCTGTAATATTAGAAATCTGAATTTTTATTATGTATTGAATAATTCATCAAGAATACTTTTTCTAAATGTGCACAGAATTAATTTCTGTGTATATCGGTTATAAAGCAGTATTTTGAAAAATGTATAAAACGTCTAAAATGTTGATGTATTTTCAGTGCTTTTAATGATGTACTATATTATGCTTATCAATTTTGCCAAATTTCCATACCTCTGTCAAAATTTCACTTTCATTCACATAACAGTAACATCAGCACTGAATTATAAAAAGAAAAAAAAAAAACATTTAGGAAAAATAACAATATTCTACACTTTATCTTATTCCTCAATACATTAATGAAAAAACATAGAACTTTGAGCAAGCTTGAGTGCACTTTACATAATAGCACCTACAAATAAATATATACATTTTAAGCTATTTTCTTTATTTATGCTTTTTCTTCTTTTTGTGCTTATGATGTGACTTTTTCCTTTTTCTTTTATGCTTCTTTCTTTCATCACTAGAACTTTCAGAACTAGATTCAGAGGATGAACTTGTAGAAGTATCTGAAGATGCTAGAAGAGCTTGTAATTGTTGTACTCTGTAAAAATATTTCACATTGTGTAAATAAAATTCAGTATTTACAGAACTATTAAAATGCTATTTTTGCAGGTTAAAAAATGCTTTATTTATTAAGAGTTATAAATATGTCTATGGCATGTAATTCAATTTTTTTAAGATTTCTCATCTATTCATATAGAAATACACGATAATAAAAAAAAATTGCTGCTAATGTCCTATATAGATAGGCAGTTAAGAATTCCAAAGCTTAAGATTTGGTGATACAGCCAAATTGAAAGTTGAAAAAGTTTTTTGGTGAAAAGTTTTAAAATGCAGGTTTGAAAATTTGGAAAGTTGCCATGCTGATTGATTTAGGAAAAATATAAAGTAATGAATGATGAAATAAAATTCGAAAGAAATATGTTTCAATTTGCATCGCAATAGTGTACAATGGATGCTAGCTAAGCTTTGTGACAATAGTCACGAATTTGAAGGTTTTTGGATATCTCAAACAAAATGAGAAATTTTCCAATTAATGGAATTTGTGGAGAAGTGGTAATATTTGGTTATATAACAGAAGTTTTTATTGTGATGATACAGCCTCAATCATCAATTCACTAATAGACTGCAAAATCTGCAGTATAATTCTAAATATGGAAAATGCCACTACTAATAAAGAAAAAAGGTGGCAAAGAGTTTGTTCAAAACTAAGAAATTTCAATTTACAATTTCTTGATATGATATAGGACTTGAATAATGGAAATTTCTAATTGTACTAGAAATCATGTTGATATGTAGAAAGAGAAAGTAATACCACAAAAAATGAAGCTACTTAAACAATTTACATTGAAAGAAATATTTAATAAAGCAAACATGTTGAGGTTTTTTGTTTTGTTTGTTTGTGTATATACAAGTGTAAATTTTGATTCCCTTAAGGTCATAAATGCTTCATTATATCATAAAACCACTATTCCATATTTTTAATTTTATGAATTCTACATGTTATCTTAGTAGATTTAAAATGATGATCTAATATTTGGGAAAGATTCCAAATTTGGAACTGCCAAAGTGTCAGTGAGACCAGATTTCAGAGTCTACTGCATAATCAATGATGCACACTCTTCTGGAGATTTAACAATTTTTTTTTATTTTTTATTATTTCATCAAAAAGCTCACCATTTACAGTCAAAAAGTGCATTCTCAATGTTTCTTTCCCCTTCTGATTATTGAATATCAACAGGTTTTTTAGCCCAAAGGAGGCTCAAAAGGGCTATTAGTCTTGAAACGGCATTTTGCATTGAATCACTATACGGCTGTATCACTTTTCAAATTGTTGCTACCAAATATTATAGCCCTGTATTATATTTAAAGAAATTGAATAATGAAGAATCTGCATTGAATGTATGTATTTTTCTTGCATTGTTAAAAAAACGATACCTACAGTCACCAAATTTTAAATAATGTTGTCCTCTACCCGAATATGGACATCTAGAAGCCCAAATCTTCAATTTATTTTATTATCTATTTCATATTTTTAAACAAATTTTTAATTAAGAAACTCGACTATCTGAAAGTTGACAGAAGTCAAACAACAAAAATCAGCGTTGCATTTTTAAATTTTCACAGGACTAGTTTCGATGGTTTTACCGAACATCATCCTCAGCTGCAAAAGCGCAATTGAACGAGATAAGATATAATGATTAGATCAGATAAGAAAGCCTAGAGAGGAGATAAGCTACTGGCGCGATCTGTTGATGAAACCAGAATTAAAACACAATTTCTTTAAAGGCTGAAGACAAAGATGGATTGGAATTAGGGTCATTAACTAGAACAGAAAGATTTTTTTGAATGTGAAATGCCTCTAGAAAATCCAGTTGACCAATGGAAGATGTTTTTTGAATAATTTTGACTGCAGAAAAATTGAAAGTGTGATTTTCGTACCAACCATACTGGGCAACAGAAGACTTCTGTGTTTCCTTTTTTCTAACATATGCCTCAGGTTCTTTAACGTGAAATTTTAAGGCTCTCTTAATTTGACCAATGTAAATTAAACCACACCGGAAAGAAATCCTGTAAATACCCCAGGAATTCATATCCGAAATGGGGTCCTTGAGTATGGAACTCGGAATTTTATTGATGGGAGAATAAACGTCCAGAAAGTTAAATTTCTGTAAAATACTTATCTTATCTAATCATTATATCTTATTTCATTCATTTGCGCTTTTGCAGCTGAGGATGATGGGTCGGTAAAACCATCAAAACTAGTCCCTGATTTTTGTTGTTTGACTTCTAAATTAATATTTGTTCGACATGTTATTGTATCTTAGTTTTGGTTGTTTAATTGAATACACAAAAATAAGCAAGGTTTATCTGTATAAGTAAAGGAAAACCTTTAGAGGATTTTTTAAGCAAAACTGGCACATATTGAAGTTACATGTGAAGAAAATCCAATAAAAATGCATATGCAGCTAATTCATCAACATAACCTAAACTTACATTGAATTACCAGTTTTCGGATATCTGGCCACTGGTTAGGCAATCAACTTTAACAGTTTTGCATTCTTTGGTTCCTAACCTGTCAAATGTTAATTAATAATTTACTACAAAATACTGTTCTGTAGAATTCATAACTTGTTAAAATTAACATTACTGGCAAAAGCCCAAATGGGACAGGCATAACTTAGGACAAAATGTGGCTAGTTTATAGATTCAAAGATCAGCATGGTCTGATTTTCAAGAAGTTGGTGGAACAAAATGCTGAAGTAAGTATACAGAGTACTGCTGCATGCCTTCAGTATCATCATAAATCTGTCTTCGTTATTGGAGGACTATGAATAGGGATGCAGATCAACTGAGTTGCTCCTCGACATGCTTCCTGATAGAAGGATAGCATGTGGAGAAGAACTTGACCATAATGAAAACAAACATTTTGCTATCCAATATCAGTAACAATGAAAGAATACGAGTTCTCACTGTGATAGGAAAATCCCTGAAATCAAGCTACTTTAAAAATAATGAAAATCAGCCAATTAAAGACAAACACTATGAATGATTGGAGGATTTTTTTTTTTTTTTTTTTTTTTTTTTTTTTTTTTTTTTTTGTTCTTTCTGTTACCACAAATGTAGGTGCAAAATCAATAAATTATTCTTTTTATAGGCATGTACCTTGGACATATATTCTTATGATTGTTTAAATGGTACAGTACTCAAAAGATTCTTTAAGAATGCTCCAATTACTTAAGAATCATTCGGTGGTGGTGTATTTAATTAAGGCAAAGCACACTAGGGCTATCTGCCTATGCCTAAGAGGAGGGATGCCTTCATGGAGAACTTTCTAAGGGAAACTGGCTCGTATACACGTTACACATGGGGAAAACCACGAAAACACCCATGCAGCCAGCCCGTTTGCGGGATTCGAACTTCGGACCGAACTACCAGTGTTCAGTTACTTTACTGCTCAGCCACTGGTGGGCCAGAAGAATCATTCAGTGTTCAATCACATTGTGTAATAATCTTTGCCATATGGACTCGTGAAGAAAGTAAAGAAAGAAGCTAATGTACCCAAGCAATGCAATAGCATGGCAAAGTGATTTAAAGGTTTCTGAAAATATGCAATACCCCTTTAAAAATTAATTCAAGATAATGAGACTTTGGCAAACTGAAATATGAGAATAGATTTAAGCTTTTTCAGCGTCACCATGAGGCAATCAAATCAAATACCGGTGAGACCGAAAAGTAAGGTGACTGATGTCATATACTAATATATATATTATATATTTACATATAAATACCATTACATGTAAAATATTATATATTTGCATATTGTCAGAAGTGTATTGTAGGTGGCGGGATCTAGTTCCCGCTGTCTACAATACACTTCTGACAATGTTCATACAAGTTCTGGAAACTTTATAGTTTCTAGAAACTATCTAGAAACTTTATAGTTTAGTCCTTTGAGACTGTGTTAAGTTCCTTGGTAACAGCAGCTTGAATGTCTGAGATGCTTGAAAATCGGTGTCCCTTTAGTGCCAATTTCAGTCATGGAAAGAGAAAAAAGTCTGCTGGCACAAGATCAGGGGAATAAGGAGGGTGAAATAACTCCGTAACCTTTTGCTGCACGAGGAACCATCTAACACACATTGCAGTATGAGGGCGTGCACTATCATGCAACAGAAACCACTTGCTTGATGCAGGGAGATGGGGCCGAACACAACGAATGTGAGCCAGGAGGTGCTTCATAACATTTCAATAAAATTCACCTTTAACTGTTTGACCTTCCAGTATGTATTCTTTATTGATAATTCCCTGTGCTTTGAAAAAGGTAATCAACATTGTCTTAACCTTTGATTTTTTGGAGTGAAACTTTCTTGATTTCGGCGATAAGGGAGTGCACCATTCCATGCTTTGGCGTTTCATGTTTGGATCATACACAAAACACCACGTTTCATCTCTTGTGACGATTGATTGTAAAAATGTGTCATCTTTATCTTCTGCATTGATCAAGTCGCCACAGGAGTCCAATCGCCGCTGTTTTTGTTCATCGCTTAAGTAATGAGGGACAAACGTCGCACAAAGTTTTTGTTTACCCAAATCCTGCATCAATATTGTTCAGAAGATTTCATGAGGACAGTTTGTTTGCCATTATTCGGATGGACAAACTGCGATCTTGCAGCAATAACTTCCTAACTCTTTCAACATTTGCTGTCTGCTCATCATCATTGGTCTTCCACTGCGATGTCATCCTCCATGCTTTCACAGCCTTCACGGAAAAGTTTGAACCACTGAAATACTATCTTGTGAGATAAAGTGTCTTCACTATACACACTTCGAAGCATTTCCAAGGTTCATGTAGCAATTTTACCCATTTTAAAACAGAATTTCATTATTGTTTTCTGGTAAATTGTGCAATGCACTAACACTTTTCAGGTTTAAGTGACTGCACAAACAAACAGGAAACAAGAAACTGACTTGAAATGACCCTGAACTTCAACGTTGCGTACCAAATATCGTAATGTGCATGTGTCAGGTCATCGGCTGTTCTCATTTTTGAAAGGAGGGGTGAGTCACTTTTTGGTCTCACCTTGTATATTACCACTCAGTTTCAACATACTCATTGTAAATTTCAAACTTACAAAATTCAATTTTCCATTCAAGATTTTTAAAAATTTTGTAGAAACATGTTTTTCTATATGAAAAAAGGACTGGTTGTAATAAAAATTTAAGTCATGTACTCATCAACTAAATACATTTTAAAATACTTGAAACTATTATTATTCTATTTTTGTTTTAAATGAAAGGCAGAATGTATTCTATGAGAATGAGTAAGGCACGCAGTTTAAGTATTATTTAAGACATGAAGGCATATCTATGTAATCTAAGTCTATCACAATTTTCACTAAGATCACCCTAGGGGATGGAATCTAAGTCATACACCCTTCTTTCCTTGAAATTAGCCTTTTGAGAGGACTATCCAATGAACAAATTTTAAGCATCTCTATTCTGCAAAAACTTTACATTCATAAGCACCGTTACCTTATCCTGATTTAAAAGGCATTCACAATGGTGTGGAAATTAATGTCTTGGTATGCTAATCATCAAGAGCTACAAATTAGTGAGAAATTACAAGAACTGATGGCAGTAATATGCTTTTAAATATTGATGAAAGCAAACAGCTTCATATTTTATATATCAAGAACAGGAGATTCTCCAGTTCACATCTAGATGGTGGTACTCAATATTATATGTTTTATTTAAACTATTATTTTCTATTACTGAGATGCTGTGAATATCAAAGCAACCTATGTAGTAGAAACGAGATTAAAAAATTCTTGTTACATAAGGGGGAGGAGTATTTTATAAAATTAGGATTAGACATACAGCGAAGGAATAAAATATATTTTTAAGATAATCAAATTGGTCTAAAGAGAAGAAAATATTCTGCTGCATAAATAAAAACTTCTAAATTTTTAGTTTAATTTAATATAAAGTTCTAATAATATTTTCTGTCTACTGGCTGTAAATGATAATGTCCATATTTCATATTATTTTATTTCATTTCTCTACATGTTGTGAAATATGTTTCAAATTAGTAAATAACATAATAATTTAAGTTATTAGATGAAATTCACATTTGTCCACTAAATTATGTAGCCCAAAAAATAATTATAGATAATAAATGAAGATTTTCGCTGTGTTAAAAATCACGATTTTTTCAGTATACATTTATATATAACAAATAATATAATTTTATAATTATCAATATATAAAAAGGATTATCAGAATGTATTATACCTTTCAAGTTTTTCAGCTTTTCTTTTCTCAGAAATAAAATTATGCATTGGATCCTCATGAATCTAAAAAAACATAAAATATATAAACATCAAGAAACAAAATTAATTGATTAATATCATATTTATAATTGATATTGTTGCATAAGTATGGGTTTATAATCGAACAGGGACTGGACCAAAATGCCATAAAGTTTGGCCCACAGAACTGATGATAGCTTGATAAAATTTATTTTACCAAATGAAGCATTTCACAGGTCTGGAATTTCCATAAAAATACTTGTACAGCTCTTCACAGTATCAGAGAAGTTACACTTCAAAACCACTAAGAATGTTAAACATAACCCAATGCAAAGTGCATCTAAAAAGGAGAAGCTGCTATAAAGATCTCTCAATACTCCAAACTCATGTTGAAGTAAACAACTGAGAAACTAAAGGTCTCTATGATCTTATACAGTTTCCCCCAACTGTCAAGAAATCTCTAGTACCTTTCACTTCTTGAAATTACTGGAAAGCACATGAGTGTTCGATACGGTTACACTTACACATAGGGATCAATTACATTTATTCAATCACAATACCAATTACAGTTCTACAGAGACCGGATCAAAATGCCGCGAAGTTTGGAAATTTCGCACCAAATTGGGAGCCAAAAATTAGTCGCCAAAACCCTCGCCAATTTACAAAGACAGCCATTTACCTCAATCTTAGACATCCTCTGCAATGCTATTTTTCTGGTAGAGCATCTTCTCTTTCAAGCTTTTCATGTTACATTATACAAAAAAATACTACAATTTCACAAATAATTTAACAGTTATTTACATATATACAAAATTTGTAACAATATATATTGTTATCTGTCTGATTGATATAATTATTATTAAATATTTAATATGAATGCATTAACTCATTCATATTGTTAAACTATAAAGTGCATTTCTGTAATTTAATTAGAGACAAAAAAAACTCTTTTAATTGTAATGTTTATAAAGAGTAAGATTAGTTTATCAAATGAAAGAAAAAATCAAACACTGGTCTTCTCAACCATTTTTTCTACTAATTTTATTTATTTTTCAATTTTTTTTAGTTTTGTAATAATTTTAAATAATTAATTATTTATAACAACATAATCAAAGCAAAAAGGTAAAAATGATTAAAACAAATTATTTTTCGAATAACCATGATATTCAGTTATATAAATTTTAAGATTATTATCATTTATGAACATTGCACATGCAAAATAAAGAATATTCTGAATTTACTATGAACAGATACAAGGCGTGGCAGAAAGATCTTCCAGACTGGGAGAAATATAGCTACAGTACAGAGATGGAAAGCATATAGTCAAACAGTAACTCATGTGCTGTTTCAAAATAGACCACAGCCTGGTCAGAAGAAAGGTTTGTTGTCATGTCATTATGCCAGCTAGATCAGTGTTTCTCAACTGGATTTACTCCAAGGACTGGTAAAATATTTCGGTACGTTCTCGCGGACTAGTAAGTTTAACAATCCGACCCACTGGCACAATTTTTGGACAGATAACTGGACATTTCGCAGATAGTGCTGGTCTATGGACCGTCAGTTGAGAAACACTGAACTAGATGGTACCAAGAAGAAACATTGTGCTTTTATTATAGAGCAGTTTCTTCACAATGGCAGCTCACCAATAGCAATGTAGTGTCCCTTTCGCATCCACTTCATGCTCATTTGATAGATCCTTTGCATTTCTCGACAATAACCAAAAAAAAAAAAAAAAATCACCAGCAGGTGTCTAACTTTATAAATTCCAAAGGAGGCTATAAAACGGGAAATTGCTGCTATTCTGCTTGAAATGGCTCCTGGACAACTATGCAAAAACCACCACCTAATTGATGTCTTGTTTAAAACAGAAAAATACAATGGTCTAAAATGGCATTATGGTGTACTTTCAACGAATAAAAAGAAAATTTCCATATCTTATTTGGTTTCAATTTTATTAGCTTCCAAAAGCCAGTTCTTCTGCACCCTGTAGAAATTCAATCTTTTTAACTGCTAGAATTCTAAATGCAGAGTCGTAGCTAGGGTTTTCAGCGCCCGAGGACTGTTAAAGACTTCGCGTCCTCTCCTGTTTGCTAAGAATAGAAAATGGTTAATTCTAAAATTTCGTAACACCAGTTTAGCTTTCCATGGATGCTGCGCCCAGGGACAGATGTCCTCCCTTGCCCCCCTCTAGCTACGCCCTTGTCTAAATGCATGGTGCTTTCACAGTAGCCCACAGAACATAAAGATTCTCATGTGCCACATCCAGGTGGCTGTTCTTCAATCTGCTTCACATCAATTCAGAAGCAATAAAAATAGGATTATTTAACTGCAAGCAATAATAAATATGATTATTTTATAGCAAATGTCTTTTCATTATTTTACTGGAAGTTCAACTGGTTTTTAGGCAACAATAAATTAACTTCATATAGTTAAATGTAGCAAGATGGAATGCATTATATTAAAATCTTGGTAGCATTTCAAATGACTTAAACAAAATTTTAGTTTCAAATACTGAGTACTTACATATCGAAATTTTTCAATCTGTGCATTTCCTGTAACAAATAATGGACATTCTCTATCACCAGTTCTATGACCATAAGTTTTACACCGCCAACCTGAAGAGTAGAATCACTTATTTAATAATATCTGAAAACTAACAAACGTGAAACTTTATTTAAATTACTACTATTGTAAAATATTTTGACATTTCTTTGAGAAATGACTGTAAGCTATTTTAATTATTGAACTACTATTGTAAAAGAGATGGTTACTTCATTATCTTAATTTACCGTCAATTAACACATAAGATTATAAGGTATTTCTAATGCCTTCGTGGTGTGGTGGTCTCCACGCTCGGCGCATATTCCAGAGGTCCGTGGCTCGATTCCCGGCTAATTTTTCAATCTCTCTTGCTTCCAAAAAGTCCTAAAATCTCTACAGCGACGCCCGAACGAAAAAAATGGGTGTTGGATGATGATTTTCCAAATCCAGGATTTGGCAATTGGGTCTCCTAAAAACCCAGTCGCCCTTTGAAAAGGGGAGTATATAAGGTATTTCTCCTGCCTTTTTAGCATGGCTTCGTGGTGTGGTGGTCTGCACGCTGGGCGCGTATTCCAGAGGTCTGTGGTTCGATTCCGCTGTGAAGGCGTTTGCTAATTTTTCAATCTCTCTTGCTTTCAAAAAATCCTAATGTCTCTAGAAGATGGCTAATAGACCACACATACAGAGTGCAATTGGATAATCATATACGAGAGATCACAGATACAGAATGTTAATACATGAAACCCATTGGAAATTACCAGTATCCATAGATTTTAGTAAATTAGCAGCTTAAAATATTTAATCGAATGCCACCATTAACTATTTCTGATATTATTTATTAAAAATATTTAATAACTTCTGGTTAACTGGCAGCAGTTAACTAGGCCCTGTTTACGGGGAAAAGAAAAGTACTATTGCAGAATATAACTGTTGATACTAATAAATAAAAAATATTCTTACAGTTTTTCAGTAGTTTCTGAAAGGAATGACAGCCAACAGTAATGTATGCCTAACAGCATTTTGATTGATGTTTATAGGTGTGCCAGTACTTCAAGTAACATAAATTGTCATCAGTATAGAAAAGTGCAAGCCACAAGAAGCCATTTTCATACTTAATGATGTAGCGAGTAAAAAAGTGAGAAAATACATAAAATCTTACCTAACACTGTGGTTCTTAAAAAAAGAAAATAGATGGAATGTAATAAAATGCAGAAAGCAGATGGATATCTATTACTTTTTTCTTAACACCTAAAATTTTTGTTTTGTGCAGCCGATTTTCAGATTTCTGGAGAGACAATGGTCACACCATCAATTTTCTGAACAAAGGTCAGATAAATGTCTGTCTGAATCTCTTTGAGGACTTGTTTCTTTTCATAAGTGTGAAAAGCTTTTCAATTAAATACTACAGAACAAAGAAATGATGTATTGTGAAAATTTGCAGCTTTTGGAGAACTGCACATGCAAGTATTTGAAAAATTCGGAGATGCCCACTTCACTGAATTTTTAATTTAGAGCTGAGTTTCACTGAATTTCTGTTAATCCAATTTGTAAATGGGCTAGTTGAGAAAGTGCGAACCCATTTACAAATGTAATGACACAGCCTCGAGAGTTCTGTTTAGCACTTGTCTGTTTCATTTATATGTAGAAAATTTTTAGACAATATTGGCTTTATTTTAGTTGTTCTTAACAGTAGGATAATTTAGCATATGTGCATGTGTGTGTTTATATACATGTGCAAGATAAAAAAAATATGTAAATGAGCTTTATAATTTAATTTATTAATAGCTTCTTATTCTTCACTTTTAATTTGGGTATTTCTTCTCTGTATTCTCAAAGTAGTAATAACTTCTCCAACTGTGCCATTTCCAGATTAGTCTATGCCACACAGCTTGTGTAACGCCGATGATGTAGCAGAATCTGAACTCAAAATTTTGAGAACTAAAACTTTTCTAACCTAAACCAAAACCTTCCCCTTGGTGAGCTTCTCTGTTGGATAATTGCACACATTAGTTTCTCTCTATGTGCAATTTCGCTGTGTTCTCTTCTTATCGCAACAATATCAAAAATGTACATGTTCTGGAAATAGGCATGATTAGAAGGCCAAATGAATTGTGCCCAAAAGTGTGAATTTAAATAAAAATGGAATATAATCCAGCTCAATTTCTTCCCCTTCAATATGGGTCAATGCTCTAGCCATTAAGTATCTATGCCAAACAACACTGCTATGCTTTTACGTCTCAGTGTTTCTAAATCATTACTTCTAAAATTTACTTTCATTACATTTTTTGTCGATCAGGATGGGGTCATGTGCTACTAGCCTCAATGGAACATATATTCCACAGTTGAATTTCTGGAAAACAGTATCTGCAAAAGTCAAGTATATTCTTTCATCTGCAAGTCTAAAATCCAAAAGTTCGAATGTGTCATGAAAAGGAGTATTGGATTTAGTATTTCAGCCACCTCAACAATATTCAGATGGGAAAAAAAAGTGTTTTAAATTATCATTGACTAACCGCTTAGGAAATTCAGCATTACAGTGGGTTCAAGGTCATTGATCTGTGCGAGAGAAAATTATTTACTCTTCCACTTTAGCACACTATCAGACGAAAACTCAAAATTGTTATCTTCATGTGAACTTAGGGTTATTTTTTTTTTTTTTTTTTTTGATGAGACAAAATTATTTAATATGCTGCAAACTCCACATTTTGCATTTAAATTTTGCTTAAGTTTCTGCAGTTTGATCGCGCTGTTTTACAAAGACATGAAATTATTCTTTAAAAGATTTAACATTATGTGTGACAAAATTAATTTAAAATTTTTAAAGTATTTAAACTATTTTTATGAAGTTTATTTATTATTTTATTTTATAATCACAAAATTATATGGTCCATATTATTGTTGCAGGACGGTGTAGAATTTATATATCTTTAATTTTTGTATATTTGTTTTTCTATTAACTAGTTTGAAGACTTTTATGGCCATAAATTATAAATGCAAACATTGATAAACATACAATACTAGAAGGCAGTTACCTTTTTTAAAGAATGAATGTTTTTAGGTTCTATTGCACTTAAGCATCCCACAGCTATCAGCAAGTTCTCATACTAATTTGCATTGTACAGAACTTGCATATTTTTATCAAAGTTTATTTTGCTAATGTATTGAATTTTGTTACTTTTCTATGTTTATTAAATTCTAAATTCCATTTTACATTGCTTGTGGAGCTAAGAAAATGTGGATTATTTTATAAGTGTCAAATAATTAATTTTAATTCAAATTTCATGAATCTGTATAAGAAAAATTTGGTTTTATATTGACAAAAACAATTTTTACAGAAGATTTTCAAGGCACAGACTGCAAAATGTTATGATTGTGATATTCAAGCAAATATTCTAATAACTGTGAACGGTTATTTATGGTTATTTACTGAAAAAATTAGGGCACTTTTTGCAGCATGTTTACAGAAAAATAGACTTGCAGACTTTCAAAATTTCAATAGCATTTTCAGTTTGCATTTATTGTTAAAAATGATGCAAAAAAGATTTTGTTATTTTAAAACATTTAGACAAAAATTTTATGATTATTTTTTTCAACATTGTATTTCCATTGTTTTGCTACTACTTTAATGCTTTCTTCTAAAAAGGCTTTTCTGTCGCCAAGCCTTTATCTCTTTGAAGGGGGGGGAATATGTAAGATAAATAAATATATAAATCAGCCTTATAACTTAATTTATCAATAGCTTCTTAATCCTTCATTTTTAATTTGGATATTTTCTTCTCTGTATTCTCAAAATAGTAATAACTTCCCCAACTGCACCATTTCTAGATTAATCTATGCCATAAAGCTTGTGTAATGCCAATAATGCAGCCGATTCAGAATCTGAACTCAAAATATTTTTAGAACTAAAACTTTTCTAACCTACACCAAAACCTTCCTCTTGATAAGCTTTCCTGTTGGATAATTGCACATATTAGCTTCTCTCTGTGTGCAATTTCGCTGAGCTCTCTTCTTATTCAACAGTATAAAAAATTTAAATGTTCTGGAAATAGGCATGATTAGAGTTCCAAATGAATTGTGACCGCAAATGTGAATTTAAATAAAATGGAATTTAATCCGATTTGACTTCTTCCTCTTCAATTTGGGTCGACGGTCAAAGCATCAAGTATCTCAGCCAAGCAACATTGCTACGCTTTTACGTCTCAGTGTTCCTACATCAGAACTTCTAAATTTTGCTTTCATTACATATATATATATATATATAAACATAAGTGTGCATGTGTGTGTATATACATATGTATGTGTACATACATTTATATAAAGAAACATATATATGTATACATAAATGTGTGTATGTACTTGTATGTTACTGTGAAAGACCGAAATTTGGAGAATGTCGAGATTCATCGGTGAATGTCAACATTCACATAGTCACTTGGTGCGTGTCCAAAATATTTGCCAAATATCCTTATTTCTGACTTACACTGGTAAATGTCTTACACCATGCACTAATGGTGAATGTTGAATACGTAGGAGATTTGCATTTTGTCCTCTTTATTTCAGGCGCCATAAAACTTCAAGGGTGACGTAACATTTTTGCCTGTCTTGCTGAGATGAGTAACCAATCCCTGGTGAGAAGAGTTGTTCGTAACTCTATAGAGATATTTTCACTGCGTGAAATGTATCTTTTGATTCTAACATGAGAAGGGCTACTCGTTATTACTTCACTTCTTAATAATGACAGCAGTCATGCTTGGATAAATGTTAAGCATTTAGTTTTAAATTTAGTCAATAAAGAACTTTTTTTTAATACTTTTGCATTTATTCCGTATATGGCAATGAAAAAGAGCTTAAGTAACAGCACATGTAAATAAACTTTTAAACTTAAACAAAACATTCTAAATGAGAAAAGAAAATAATACAAAAAAAAATTTAATTATGTGATTGAAATCTTATTTACTGCAACTTTTATAACATTTTGAATTACACAAGAGTCCCTTGCTTTTACAACTGCATTTAGTTGTGGAATACTTCCTTTTGCAGTGACAGCATGTATAGCCTTGCCCTCTACTTCTCGAATTAGCTGCAGCTGCTTCTCTCAGCGACATTACTTGAGAAGGAATCTCATCTACAGAAAGTAACTTTTCTTTACAAATTACAAACTGATTACAAGTATAAAGCTGCTTGAAGGTGTCATTCTTATTTGCTAGTTTATAAATGTCGGAATCTTATTCTAACAACTGTTAGCGGCCATCTGTATACGACAACAGCCGACATCAGGGACTTGTATTCGTACAATATCGGCAATTTAAACAGGAGAAAAATTGTTTTGAGGTTTGCAACATTTTCGTTGCTTGCAGTAAAAGATTCTCTTTTGCGGCCGATCTTTTTATAGAAATTAACTCGTGTTGTTCAGTCCAGGCTTGATACGAAGACGTGGTAGGCTGCAGGTCCACCTCAATATTTTTCTTTGGAATATGGTTTTCAGTATGGCCACTGC